CTTTTTTTCGCTTTTTTCCTAGGAGGGTACAGCAAAAACATATTTGTCGCTTTTTTTTCACGTTTTTTTCGCTTTATTTTCGCTTTATTTTCGCTTTTTTTCGCTTTTTTTTCGCTTTTTGTTTTGCTTTGTTTTTGCTTTTTGCTTTGTTTTTGCTTTGTTTTTGCATTTTCATTTGCTTTTATTTTGCTTTTTTTTTCACTTTTTTTTCACAAAAAAAATTATTTGATGGTTGGCCATGTATGGCTGCCATCGCCCAACATAACCATAAAAAAGGCCTTAGGTCGGATCATGTTGCCTATTTGTTTGATGGGTGTGAGTGATCCAATCTCCGACGATTGCGCAGGTCATGAAGATCTTCAAGACCTTAGAGGAGAACGCTTCCGAGGCGAGAGCGGGCGGAGGGAGCACAGGGCTCCTCCCCAGCAGCGGATGGAGCGGCAGATCATGTTCCATGGCTCGGCTCGTTATGTTTGAATCGTTTGCTAAGATAGTATGTTGGAACCAACTGCAAGCCTTCTTCACGAGTCAGAAAGTTCAGAGCGGACCATCACGACTGCGACGGAGCCCATGGTCCCATCACGACATCGCTCCGTCGTGCGCGATCCGTGTCCATCGGCGATTCCGCGCCCGGGTTCCCTAGGGCTTTGTGATGGTGAAAAACATCAAGGGTGAGGGGTCTTGTGGGGGGCGTTTTCTTGGTGCAACGAAGATCCAAGAAACAGGTCAAACAAGAAATGGTGAAGACTGAAGACGTGAACATCGGCTTCTTAGAAAAAAAGAACATCGGTTTTTTCCTTTTGCAGACGTCAGTCCGTATGCTCATCGCTGGAAGTTCCTGTGCAGCAAGCAAGCTGCACATGTCTCACCGTTTCACTCCGACCTGGTGGAGGGAAGGGACCATGCTCATCCCGGTTGTTCTTGACCCTTTGGCGGCACCAATTGTTTGGTGGATAGGTACTTGATGGTGCCTGGAATACATGTTTTTCTTGTTGACCAAACCATGTGGATGTTGGAGGAGAGAGACCTCTCAGTGTTTCACTTTAAAAGGCGATCCCCAAAACTCCGATCTCCCAGCCGTTGACTCCTCGGTCTCCCTCCAGATCCGTAATCCCAACGGCTGGGCTGTGAGTGCTGCACGACGCCCGCGGCCTCAGCCGGCCGCAGGAACTCACACGGGAACTCACACGGGGTTCACGGTGAACACCAAGCGGTTTTTGGTTGAAGTGTTGGAAAAAAGGCGCGGCTTGGTTTTTTTGTTGGAGATAGATCTTGATGAAAGTGGTTCCATGGACTTTACTCTGTTGTGGTATACGTGAAAAAATAACTCTCTTCGAGGGAAGGTGAATGTTCCAATCCTGCCCGCATCCACCACATGCCATCCCACACCGGTGTTGCTTGACAAATCCCTGAATCACCTGGGTTTTGCTTGAGTCACTGGTCAACTTGTTCCTTCTTCCCTGCAAAATAGGGACTCGGACAGTTTCGTGATGACCATTCCATGTAAAGGGGCGCCCAATTCCAGCTATAAGTAAATGTGCAAGAGGCATTTTCTCAAGTGGTGCCCAGAAAGAATGTGTCGGGTTTAAGTCAAGAGTTCCTTTTGGGGGGGACAGGTTCCATTCCATCCTGACTACCAATGATTACATTATATGACATTCCAATGGCCGGCACGTGAAAATTTGGGGATTGCAGAAAAGCCGCGGGCAACCAGCATATTTTTGGGCTTTCGAGCCACCGTGGGTTGCATACATTGCAAATTCCCACATTTTGGAACCGTTGGCTTTAGCATGCTTTAGCCGACGCTTTCAAGGCCTAGCCGAAGAAGGCGTTGCGCCAGAGCCCAAGAGCAGCAAACCGAATCAGGACAGGGTGGCAGGAGGGGCCCGGCAACCTGGCAACCTATTAGTACTATTAGCCTATTTTCGGATCCTGTAAAGACAGGGCTGGAGGAGCCAGGGGTCCCAACATGTGCAGTCGAACGTATGTTCTTTATTTTTTCTGTGAAGTAACTTATGAGTAAGCCAATTGAGTGCCGGAAGAATGCTTAGCGAAACGCAGGGGCAGCACAGCTACATTTCAGGCCGTTCCTTGTAACCTCAAGAACAAACCAGAAGCTCTCGATTTCCCTCTTTGCCCTGTCCACATCCATTCAGGGTTCCCATACCGACATAGTTGTGGGTCAAAGCATCGCAAAGGCAAAGACCAAGATACTTGTACAACAAAATATTAAAGGATATTAATGGCTACAATATGCTATACTTGGATCATGGCAAGCTTGTTGTTTGGAAATGGTTGGAATTGGCCTATACTTGCTTTCTCGAGTCCAAGTGGAGGAACCATCCAATTCCATCCAATTCCAATTCAGCACCTTCCATCCGTTCCTTCATCCCCCACCTCTCTGCCTCCATCTCCAGGACTTCCGGAACGAGCCCTTAGACAAGCAGTTGCGCGTCCGGGCGCCCTTCGCTCCGAACGGCCGGCCGAGGTCGTCCGGGCGAACGAGTCGAACGGGAAGCGAGCTCGCGTCGGCCGTTACGGGCAAGTCCAAGTGCTTCGCCATGCAATGACAAGCGAAGAATCTAAGAATGGCCATGCTTCAAAGCGCTTGAAAGAATCAGAATTCAAATCAGTTCGAATCCCACCTGGCGTTCGTTAAAGAACAAACTGAACCCGAGAAAGAGAATCCTGCCATTGGAATTGTGCAACTCGTCGATGGGACCAAACAACCTCGTTTTTGCACAGAGCGAGCGCCAGCACTCGTCGGCCACCGGACAGTCTTTGAAGGTTGAAATGGCCAGATACAGCAGATACAAACGGTCATACACAGCCAGGACAAAAAGTTGGTAACAACATTGTGAGTACATCACCTACAAGCCTTTCCCCCTAGAATCCTACAGGGATCACAGTGGAATGCCGGCGGATTGGTTTCCACCCCATGCAGATGACCAATCTTCGCCCAAACGAGGCACACATCGTTTGGCTCAACAAAGAGGCCGACCATCGCGGGGGGTTCAGCGGTGATGCACAACGAGTCCAGCGGGGTGTGGCTGTCGTTCGCGGTCCGTGAACAAATCCGGTCCCATACCTATGGAGCCCAAGAACGGTGAGCCAAGTGTTTCTCGCTTTGGGGCATGAATCAATGGCCAAGCGGCATAAGAGGCTATGTGAATAGGTTGGAAGGTGTCGTTGGCAGGACCTGAACCTGGTAAAACTAGAAGAAAGAGGTGTGTTTTTCTTGTTTTTGTTCTATCTTCTGTGTGTCAGCCCAGCAGGTACTTCGGGTGTGCAACCCACCAAAATCAGACAAGAATCGTTTGTCCTGAAATTCTGTGATTGGCCAGCTTGTGACTTGAACGAAGCGTCCACTGTGCTGGATTCCCTAACAGAGTTGCGGTCGAATTCAACCAAAAGCAGCTTGTTGGCTTAGCTGAATGAACGCAAGATTAGCAAGATCAGTTGACATGATGCAGACTGGACTGCGGAAGGCCCACCGCCCTGGACCGATGTTGCAACTTCAAAGACACTGACTGTTTGGTGAGGTCGCTTTTTGTTCCTTTTTGGTTTCGTCTATTTCGACAACTTGACGAACCACGAGCAGTAATTCGCATGGATTGATGGAGTCGAGTTTAAAAAACGTCTCTATACTCTTCCAAGCAAGCCAAACACCGGCAAAGATCCGGTGGCGCGACCATTCAGCACCGCCTCCGTCGCCGTCGTCGCCTGCGTGGACGCATCGATCGAGATCCTTTCAAACTCCTGATGGGACAAGAGGCAAGGCTGGAGGGTGGAAGTAGATTTGGAAGATCAAGCACGTGGAGCTTAATGTGAAAGGATAATGTAATGCATGCCGCTGCATGCCTTTGTTCCCACCACTAAACAAAACATGCGCAGACTTGCACTGCAAGACGAGTTCTTTTCATGGCTTGGTTCTCTTCCTAAAGTCCATTCATGGCCGGCAGAACACAGCATGGACCACCTTGACCTTGACCTTATTTGTGTGTTTTCCGTTTTCGCCCCAAAGGTTTTCGCGGGCAGAGGAGTTTGTTTTCTAGGTCATTTCTAGGCATTTACGTACCCCTAGAGCCGGGGTTCATGGAGAGAGGTTGAAGTTGGGAGCCATCTCCACACGCACAAATCCGCCAAAGCTTGGCAAACAGCTCCCATCCCAAAGTGGCGCTTGCACTTGGCTCTTCATCTGACCTCTCCTTTCCTCAGAAATCTCTTCGTCTGGAGACAGTCGAGTGACGGTCCTCTTGCTACAGCACAGCTGAGACCTGAGACCGACCTCACCATCCCTTTGGTTTGCATCTGGATTTGCAGTCCCATCCTCGTACAGTTCTAACTGTTCTAACTGTCATCCCAAGAGTAGTGCCAACTTCTTCTCCCTTTGTCTGCTTTTTCTTCGCATGCAGAAATCGTATCCCTTGCGTCATCGCGTCATCGTTGCGTTTTACTTCTCAGGCCGGCGACCTTTGGGAAGTTCATGGCTGGTGGCTGCGGGAGTTCTCTCGGCACAACGAAAGCAGGAAATTCGAGAAAGGCTCAAACAAAAAACATCAAAAAACATGTCCCGGTCGGGAGTTCCTGAGGTCTTTCCATTTCGGCTCCATCAATGGTTGCAAATTAAGAGGGTACTGTACATGGTGGATCTATGATACTCCAAAATAGGATGCCTTTTAGGGTCTTTCTTGAATGCCTGGCATGGCTGGAGAAACGGACCCCAAGCTGCGGGTCCTTGGGCCTTCCTTTTTGGAGCCACAGTCCATCGAATCGATCCTGGAGAAGACCTTCCCCTCTGGAGAAAACCCACATCCACATCGGGAAGGCGTTTTGTTCGTTGACCCAAAGCCAGCGCAAACCGGTACACCAAGCTGTTAAGTGTTTTACATATACATATATATATATATATATATAGTGGGGGGGGACAAGCTTGGAATGCCGCTACCCCTTTGAGACGACCGTGCACAGAGGGAAGTTGTTGGCTTCTGAGCGAAGCGACCATGTTTGAGCTGGGGTGAGTGCATTTAGCAAGTTTTGCATGTTGTGTCGACAGATATATTGGTTGCAAGCCTCGAAGCATCAGTCTGCATAGACTGACTGCTCCTGCTGGATAGGGTTCGAGATCCTAGAACATCACAGGGCAAACCAATGTAAAGGCCTGTAAAGGGTTGCATCACACCCAATAAAAGCAAGATATGCTGTCTACGAGGCTCTTAGCTTATGTGTGTTTTCATATGTTGTGTCCAATCCACGGCTCTTGGCATCCAATCCAAGGCTCTTCATTATCACGGGGCTGCTCTCTGCACTGGCAGCTGCTGGCCCAAGTCGGTTGGTTGATTGGTTGGTTGGTTGGCTGGTTGGCATGGCCGTCCTGCAGACCAACATGGACATACATGGACCCTCAGGACCTTCTACATTGTCAACAGTGCTACAGTAGTCTTTCAGGTGTCTGTTTGCAGGGTAAAGGTCCTTGGCACCAATGCGTGTTCATAGCTTGTTCATATCAAATAGAGAGTCTTGGGGAGAGAAGATAAATTCTAATGAATGTTTCTGGCAAGCGATACGGGACTGCTCAGTCTGCATGTTCACTTCAGATCCCACTAGCTCAGACTCCCACCTCAGACTTCTCCTGTCTTGACATCTCTTGCCTCATTCTTCCAAGGCTGTGATCTACTGTAGCTTTGCCGGACCGGACGAGGTCCCTGAAGCCAAGGCCACTGAACTGGTATTTTCATCGCGTATTGTATCGGGCCCGGCAAGCCCGTGGTGCACATGTTGTGGTGGCGCATGGGCAAATGATGGTGCAAGTGTCAGACAAACGAAGACCATGTTTGGGGGGGTCATCATGAACTGTATGACTGGTAGGTTCACTGTGGATATTTACAAGCTCCCGGAGTTCCAAGCTCCAAGCAGATACCGGTGAATCCTGATGCATGGTAATTAAGAATCAACATATATAAACATATATGATGTATTATAAGGTGTGTCCCATTGCCAGCAACAGTCTCTCGGTTTTTTTGTTTTTAGGGCCTGCAACCAGGCCCCATCATCCGCTGAGCCCTGGTCATGGAAAGAGACTGGGTTGGTCCATTGCAGTCGCGGTCAGGTGGACGACGATGAGGCGGTGGAAGCTTGGAGAAGCTGTGGTGGACGGGTGTTGGGAGCACCAAAATAAGATTAGAGAAGCGAGTGAAGGGAGCAGCAATGGCAACCATCGGAATTGGTTTAGATCATTTTAGATATAAACGGACACCAAAGCACCATAAAACACCCCTTTCGTTCAACTGTTTGCTGCAATATCTACATCAACGTACATCTTTTTGTTTGGCCCTGAAAGAGCTATGCAAACGAGAAATTCTCAGGTCTCCTCATGTTCAGAAAAACCATCGTAGGAGCAAGAAGCTACTAGGTGGAGGCCATCGCAAGTGGGTTGGAGGCCATTACCTACTAGGAACAACGAAAGTTCGACCACACCCTCCACGCTTGACGCCCGGAGCTGAGGCGAACAAAGCCCGGACGGCCGCAGAGCTCTATGCGCCTGGGTGAGCTGGGTGAGTTGAGCTGTCGAGCTCCTTTGTTTGGCCCAAACTGGGAGGTGTTTGTTGTGCATTCTTCTCCAGAAACGCTTTCTTTGAAACAAGACATCGCTGGCCTTTGGACAGAAAAAAAAAGAACTGCTCACTTGCTTAAAAGCAACCGGTCACATCCTGTCACCCCCCTGTCACTTTCCAAGCGGACCGAGGGCACCGCGGGTCAAGTGGACGAAGTGGACGAAGTGGGGAGTGTGTTGAATTGGCTGGATTTGTTGACAGGTTTATCAGTCAAAAGATGCCAAAAGGGTCCAAGGATGTCCAAGGCCAGAATCACTCGAGTTCTTAGGGTTGAGTGTCTCCCAAGTAGGGGTTCTACTTGTTCATTTTGGTTCCACCAAATCAATGGATTTGCACATGTATTGTATTGTATTGTCCTCATCCACAGAGATGTGAGTTGAGCCCACTTGGTAGCACGCAGCCAGTTGTTGAGTCCACCTGAGGACCAGATGCGTGCAGAGATGGCCTCTGAAGAGACTCTCAGGAAGCGGCGGTGACGTTTCATGCCCAGTGGCCTTTCATGCCCGAGCAACTGCTGCCGAACACCCTGGTGATGAGCAGTGACGAGCTCCTGATTTTAAGATTTTCATTGAAGACCTCGGTGAAGAGTTGGGTAAAAGCAACAAAGGGACAAGAACAGAAGCAGAGTGAGCAACCTACCGATGGACCAAAGAACTAGCCGTCTCATCCAGTAATCATATGCATGAACTTGCTAGAATGCCTGAAATGACACATACGTTTGTATGAAGAGTTGAGCACTGTGTGTTTCCTGCATGAATTCTCTATATATTTCTCTATGTTTCCAAAGATGTTGCCATTGCTTGCACGTTCTCCTAAGGGTACTTGCTATTGATGGACGACGACCTGCATCACCTGTGGCATACCCGTCATCATATTGTCATTGTAAACAAGAATACCAAAGAACTACTCTCCAGATCCCTCGAGATTAGTGGCTCTTAGAATTCCTGCATACATTTAAAACATATTAAAGCATCTGGGTCACCTGTTGGTGGGAGAGCTGGTAGGGAACAGGGGCAAGGGGGCTTGACGTGGCGCACAGGTGGTGCAGATTTTTTGTCCATGAACGGCGCCGGGATTTGTGTTGACACTCCGTGTGGCGAGCTGCAAGAATGACGTCGAGATTCCGCCGAGCCCACAGAAAAGGGAGCTGTCTCGCACAGCCGCACACCTTGAACATCCTGGTTGAGTGACAACTATATAAGTGTCAGTGTAGCTAGCCAAAACATAGTAATTTGTGGGCGACTTTGATGAGGCGTATTTGAACTGGTTCATCAGACATGAGGTGATGAGAGAAAAGAGGCAAGCAAGTGTGCTTGGAGCGTAGGCAGAGACAGAATTCTTTGGCACACACACCCATGCTCATGGATGAGTATAATATAGTAGGATATAGTAGGTATGCATACGGTATGCACTCAAACAGAAACTCAGAAAACGCCCTTCGAACTGACTAAAACGGCACTTTTCAGATCACTTCACCGGGTCTTCACCGTGGCCGAACGCTCGGACCGGGCAGGTTCCGCTGAACGCTCCCTTGGAGTATGAGCAGGCTGGACGGTCGGAGATCGGCGGATTTCGGACCCAATTCCGCAGCGCGATCGGCTGGAGCTACTAGCTACTCGTAACAAGGGCATTTCTACTAGGAGCTGTCGGACGCTACTAGTAACAAGGGCAGGGGGCAAGTGGCACACGCCGTACTTGAAAATGAAGAGGTGCACAGAGGGGATTCACATGCCGTTTCAAGAGGTTTTTCTCTGTAGTTCAAATACCCAGACTGTTTGGAATTCCAAGAAAGAGAACGGCAATGAAGAGCATCTTCGATTGCTGTGGTCGGAGGAGACAGCCATGCACCCAGATTTCATGAGGTTCGCACGGACATGAGACATGAGCCCAGATGCTGGTGCTAAAGCTGTTGAAGGAGGAGAGGAGTTCTGCCGGACCCAAACGAACAGCACTCCCAATGAGAGTGCCAAGTTAAAGTCTGCCTCTCTACTAAAGTCTTCACACGCACGCGTCTTTTGAGGTACCTCCTCTTTGAGCCAAGATGTTTTGGTGCCCATCTTCCCTGTTTTGTTTTCTGGCAGGAATCCGATGGAATCCGTTGTTTTCCATCCGTGCCTCGACTGGTCCATGACTGTCCGATGCAGACGATGATGACTGTCCGATCCACGGCGTTGCACGCGTCTTTCTCAGGTTGCGCAGCCTTTGCTGAGCTTGGATACTAGAGAAGCTGGAGAAATCCTAAGGCAGCTGCCCGCTTGCGCCCTTGTTTCCTGGGTGGCCTTTAGGGGTTCAGGGAAGATCTTTACAGGGGCACGGGACGAAGAGAATCGAAGTTCGGGGTTTTGTTTTCGCCTGGTTTCATCCTTTCATCATCTTTCATCCTTTGAGAGCCTGGTGTCTTCCTAGTTTGCCTGGTTTTCATCCGCCGTTGGGGTTGTGAGAGCTGTCCAGTCGCCTTCCCACGCCGTGTTTATTGGTCGGAAGACCGTCCAGTTGCTTCCCGAGGTCGCTTCTCGTCGATCGATGTGCTCGGATGGATTGGTGAATGGATGTGAATGGTGGCCGTATTGTATTAGGATACCTCCAAACCCATAGGTTGGTGGTGTGTTTGAGGAAGTCTTTGGGGGATTCACATATATATATATATGTATATGTAATTATATATACATAAAAGTATATATATATATCTATAGAGAGAGAGAGAGGCACACATGACCATCATGATCACCCGTGTCACGATCTTGCAAGCTCCACAGAGTCGTTAGCTTGAAAAGAAACGGGTGCCCGTTTCTCAAGAAACACGAAAGCTCCGACCAAGACATGCCCAAGAACGATGCCATTTGTGCGATGTAGGCTTGGTCAAAAGATGAAGTTAAAAGAGACTCTGGAAATCGTATCCAAAGAGATGTGGATATAAACTAAGCAAATCATGTGTAAAATCATGTAATACCAACTTGTCTGTGTAGTGACAAGCATTGACAAGTTCTATGCATGTAATTTCCAGCTGGGGCTAGGTTACAACTTTTTACTACAGTACTGTGACCACCACTTGTTTGGATCCTGAGTACTTGTCTTCCAATGTCTTTTCCAATAAAGTTCCCAGCGTTTCTTGGTTTTAAACCCTTTCAGGCCCCCAAGATCATGGATAGAGTTCATTCGTGCGAACAATCATTGTGTTCGCACGACGGATCAACATTTGTCAACACCTGTAGTCACCCACCTGCATCACAGCTGCCAGCACTGCTTGGGACCCCACGTGTTCGCCCTGTTCGTTCCAGGCGCCTAGAGGAGAGTGCAAAAGAGGTGTGGCAGAAGATTTCAGTGATTGGGAGTGCCAGTGCATATGAAATACTGCAACCAATGTGTAGGCAAACGCTTTTTCATGCTGTTCCAGCTGAGAGAGGATAGACACATGGACTGCAAACTCCTTTACAAGCTGAGTTTGTTCGACTTGCCCGTCTTCGACACTGCTGAATTGGAAATGAACCCCCCGAAAGAGTTCAGCGGACCACTGGCTGGTTCAGTGGTAGTCCGTTCGGGAATGTCTGTCCTTCTTGGCACATGGGTCTGTCTCCACCTCAGATGCTCGGCTCCTTCGGTTCTTTCTCGCAAAGCAAGTCGATCCTTTTTTGGGCCACACGGTGCCCCACCACTCACCCACCTTCCCACAACTCGTCGAACTGAAGAACGGCCCTACCACGGTGGTGGTGGAAGCTGTGGTTCCGCCCACGATTGCACCGCGTCAACCGGAGGTCCGCGACCCCAACGGCTATGTGGTGAAAGCAGTGCGGTGCTCGTGGAGGGAGATGAAAAACGTGTCCACCACTGGGTGGAGTGGGTGGAGGTGAAGGTGTGCATCTATTGAACATCTATAAGCACAAGTCAACCATGGTAAAGCTCATAGATCGAGCTAGCAACCATTTCACTCAAAATCCAGGTTTGGATCCAAATTCATCCAAATTCCCCAAATTTGGTCCAGATACTGGATCCAAATTCGTCCCAGATTTGATCTACTGTACTTGCATGAAAGTCCCAGGCTTTCCTGGTCCAAGCTTCGCGCATCGTCGCGTGCCATCGTCGCACTGACAAGATTCCCCGGAGGTGGAATGGTTTGTTCGACGCCAGAGCTCCTTCGGCCGCTCTGGGGCATTCCATTTGATGGGGCATCCCATACCCTCCAATTTGGAAGACCACGAAGAAAGACCCGAATCGCCCCGAGTGGATGAAATTAATGTTACGGATATAGATGACATAGGACATCATATTAACTGGGGGCAGTTAAACCTTACTGCCGCCGAAGATCTAAGCACAGGCAAGTATTTCATGGTATTGTGGGCCCATATGTCATAGACGAGTCGAATCCACCTAAGTTCCTGAGTCGAAACTCCAGGCATGTCTAACTTAGTCTAACTCTTTGGGAGGTTTTAGATGGCTTTCAAGAAGCATCGGCTTTTTAATTTGTGTGCCACTGAAACGGCTGTATTGCGGCAAGGCCCAGCGGCAGCTGAATGACCATCGAAAGGGTGGCGGCAAGAGCGAACGCAAGCGAGAACGGGAGGCAGGCAAAGTGGAGCGGGACCTGTGGACTGGTTGGTGGCGCTTGACCTGTTCATGACAGCTTGTTGGTGGTCCTTGACCACAGAAGGTGTCGAAGTCAGAGTGACCAATCCTGTTCACAGGAACAATCGCTTGGAAATAGTAGGATGGTGAACTCCCGCCTGTGAATCCTGCTGACCATCCTGATTCATACACTTTGTTTGCATGTCATGTCAAATATGTGTCATCTTGAGAGTCCTTTGAGGCGGAGCGGCGGAGTCATAAAGAGTTCTACCTCACCTGCAAACGGACAGAAGTACTGGGACCATTTGGGACCTCTGAATCATCTAAATGAAGGGTTACTGAGTATCTAATACATGCTTATCTCACAAACCAGGCGAGTTCTCATCTCAATGATTTCAGGATGTTAGCATTTACTCCAGACTTTCACCACGAAACCGAACCCTTTGGGCTTCACTCGTGGAGTGATGGCCGCGTGCCAGGTCCCTGAGCCGCCCCAGCGCGAAGCTCGGTTCAGCGGGAGTCAGTGGGAGTGACCTGGTGGCACTGGGGAAGTCGCAACGGGAACACAGTTCCACCCTGTTCCGCGTGGGGCAGTCTGAGGCAGACGACTTGGAATCAGGTTGATTTATCATGTTGGGGAACCGGGGGGGCTAACACACGGCTCTGACCTGAAAGGTGCGGAAATTTTTGGGGCACATCCAAAGGTGAAAGCGGGGATTGAGCCAGGAGCTGATCTTACGAGCACTTTATGGGTGGAAAGTGAGTGAATGTTCTGGAAGATGTGAAAAACGATGACTACTTCACTGCTTGACTTGTCAACACCGTTCACTGGAATAGCGGAATAGGCGGGTTAAACCTGAAAACATGTTGCAGAAGTCCACAGCCACATCTGATGTGTGTACTATGGTCCAGCCTT